TTAGCATAGAAAGATGCTTGCCAAGTATATACAAGATATACTTCTAACATTCAAGTATGAGACAGATTATAACTGTTTCGGGTGCATGCTGGGAAGAGGTTCTTAAGCTAACCTAGGTGAATAATCACTCTTCAAATAATTAGCACTCAAAACATGTACACAACAGACAAATAGGAAAAATGAACTTGAAGTCAGGTTATGTTAAATGCCTCTCCCATCCCATCTGACACTCTCACTTTCATTTTTAAACAGCAGAAGTTGTCCCATTGTGGGYGGGGAAAACAAAAACTGAATAACAAACAGGAGATTTCTCATAATGAATCTTCRGTCTATTCTACAGAGTATAGATGTATTCACTGATTTCGGAAAGTTTATAGTAGCTGGGCTTTATGAGTCCCCAAGACACCTGCTGCTTTAAAGTAGCTGAAAGACAGGCTGTTTCAGTCTTCTGCAGGATGAGTAGATGTGGAGGAGGGTCGTACCACACTGCCTTCCCTTGGCTTCAACTGCATTTCACTTATGAGGCAGTTGGGTCACTTAACCACTCACTCATTTTGGCTACATAAAAGTGACAGGACAAGACCAGAAGGGGGGACATAAGAAACAGGAATTGTCCAAACCAACAAGCAAGCCTTCTTGCTCAGAAACAAGTACCTGGGGCAGAGACTGAATCTAAGATTGCATCTTTTAGTTTCCTAAAACCTTTGTATCAATCTTTTCTCATCCTCCCTTCTACTCTGAGCTAGAAAGCATTTAACTTTCTGCCTCTGTTCCTGACCTGTCAACCCTATTCTAACAGAACCTGCAGGTTTCCCATCACCTCTGATCCCTTTTACAGGCAGATGGTTTCCTGTAGGGGAAATGCCTTGCTATCAAATCCACCCATTCTTGATTCTGAAGAGGTCTTGAACTTGTACTCTGTGTCAGTTATGTACATCTTGATTGCAGCAAATAACTCAAAGGACCTAAAAATTTTGATGACCATATACTACACTGTGGTCTTTGTATCTACTTTTAAAGTATCTCAGATCCAACTATAGGATTTCCCCTCGCCCCCCCCCAGAAATCCCAGCTAGTACTAGTCAAGTTTGGCTGAAGACTCTGTGGATAACAGCTCAAGACAGCTGACCAGGGGCCACATTATACAAATGTGCAGCTGGTACCTGTTATGTTGATTACTAGCATAATCACATATCCATACTCCTCCACTACAGATCTACCAGGTTGTAGAGAAATCCAGAGCTGTTTTCCAGCACAATACAGTAGGTCTGGATTTAGATTCATAGATGATTGTTTAATAGACTCCTTCATACAGGCGAAGAGAGGAGTTGTCATGTTTTCGGTGTGGTGCCTTAATTAGAACACAAATAAGGCCTTAATTAGAACACAAAGACTTACATGTGCCGAATTCAAAATTTAAAAGTTATTTGGCAGTGATGGGTAGTTCCATAATTGCCACGTTCTTTGCTTAGGTAGGATGGGATCAAAATGACAGAGTCTTRAAGGAGACCCAAGCCATACAGAGCAGCTATGTTATGTGTGCTGTCAAACTACTTAAGTTCATACATTTGTCAAAACACCTTTCATTTTAAAACCCTGAAGAAATCAGAGACTGAGCAAAACACCTTCCCTCCCTTAGAAGGCAATTTATTTCAAAATGTCTAAACAACATATTCTGCTTCCCCTGTGATCCCTACTGCAGCATGAATTTTATTTTCATTCCTCACTTGCCCTATCAAAGATTCCTTAACAGCTCTGCCAGAGCAACTGAGATAACACACAAACAGGATGGCAAGTTGAGGGAGAGCTATGGCTCCTCAAAGTTTTGCACAGAGTCACTGTTTCTCTCCTTAACATACAGAGCAAGGAGCACCAGTCTTGTGCTACAACTCCTTACCAGTTCAGTCAGACATATCATTCCACCAGCATATTGCATGAAGATGACAGCATTTCCCATTTTGCAAGACCCTTCCCATTCCAATTGTTCTGTCAAATAGCTGAAGTCCAAATTTAAGCAAGACAACTAAAATCCACTCGGACAGTGCTGCCATGGTTCTGCCCACAGACAACTTTATACTTCAGCATGGGAAAAGCTTTTAAACAGCAGCCTTTCCTTAAKGAAATGGTTTTGAAAGCTTAGCTGCTTTGTGCAGGTGTCATTTTAGAAGTTAAATTCTTACCCTCCACCCATAACTGCATCATCTTTGAAACATCCTTCAAGCGAGCAGTTTGTCTTCAGCTTCACATGGGAGCATTTATTGGCATGAACTGGAGCTGAATGTTTTTCAAATGTGCACACCAAGGGCCAGAGGGCTGTACTAGAAAAAAACAGTTGTTCTCAGGCCCYCAAAAAATTTGCTTTGGGAAAAATACTAACAAGGACCAAAAACATGCTGCCAAGACAGTTCCATCACTGCTTTAAATCATGAAGCTAACTAGTTTATCCCCTCACTTAACAAGATACCCTTAAGTTCCACACATATAAAAAGAGTTTCTTTTTGCAAGTATTCCAATAAGCGTATTCCAAAGAAAGTGGGCTTKTTTGGCCTAATTTGATAAAGAATGTAGAAAACTCAGCTTGTATGTAACTTCTATTTACTATTCTTTAAAAATGAAGCCAATAGAATCTCATGGAAAGAAAATAATGACTACAGTTCTGAGATGCAGTCTGAGGTATTGAGATTGGTAAACTTCAAAACTGAGAGAAATCTACTTATGAACATCCTTTAATGATCAAAAGTGTTTTTGGAAACATGAAGGAGCAGGCTGTTGATCTCTTATTAGAATGCATGAGCACTTTTAAGCATTTTAAAATTTTCTTTTAAGTGCATGACAGTTGATCAACATTCCATAAGTCAATCTTCAATCYCCCCCCAAAAAAATCAATTGCATCGTTACTTTTTTCTATTGAGATAAAAAACACAGAAAACACTCTTCACATGAGATTCCCAAGCCTAGTGAGTACACTTTCTTTCCATCAGGATTTCCTAGACAAACTCAAAGGAGCTCAAGTTCAGAAAACAGAAAGGACACCAAAGTATCACTTCCCTGAAGGAAAACTCCTCAGGGGGAGCATGGAGAACTGATCTAGGCAAGGGGCTACCTTGCTGACAAGGAAGCACCATGAGGTTCTTTTACAGCCTCTGGACTATTATAATTTCCTCCTCTGACCTGCCAATTCCCTTTAGTCACAAGAAGGGATCCCAGTTGGCTCAGATCCCAAGGGCAAGAGTAGAAGTGTTGTTTGCCATCCTCTCTCCTTGGCACAACCCATGAAGCTACACATTTTCTAATTATGAGGGGGAGATAATTTGGCAGGCCTGATCCATTTATTTAAATACTTCCCAGATATTGAGAAACATGTAAWCAGAAAGAGCTCCAAGTGGACACAGGGTGTCCAAAGTTACATAGCACATGGGGATAAAAATGTCACTAATATATGGATATAGTCAAGCATTATCATTCCCCCACACACACCTTTCTCCTGCATATATATCTACCTATTACATAACTTGCTTCAGCTTGTTTCACCGTTTTTCTCCTTGAGGCTTTCATGTCACAGTCTCTCAAAACCTCTGTTACTTAAAGCTGAATTGCTCGAGGGATCCATCAGGAACCAAAACTCAAAGCCCTGTAATGTGCAAGCTGCAGCTGTTAATGAATGCACTACCTTTCTTGGTTGACTTTTAATTTTGATTTTTTCACATCTTCATAAAAATAATTTTGAATTCTGTACGGTATTAAGTACTTCAGTGCAATTTGTTGAATTGAGAGATACAGAATCAGCAACAGCAATAGCCAGTGGCACTACAAAGAATAAAACTGTCAAGTCAAGCAAGAAAATAGAGATGCATCAAAATGATTTCCGAGTCTTTTTGAAGAGACTCCTTTTCCATCCCATACTCATGCTGCCTCAGGCACCTCATTGGAATCTAAAGATGGAACCAAAAACTCAACTCAGTTTGACTGTCAAAAGCAAACACAACACCTTCTTCAACCTAAAGTTCTGCCCTTTATAAAGTACCTGCACACAAAAAAAGCACACAAAAAAAACCCAAACATTTTTCTTATTGTATCGGCTTTATGTCCACATGGAAATCCAGGATAATTTACTTTTTATTCCAAACTTATAGTACAGAATTAAAACTGACAATAAGTAGATAATCATTATATTTTACCCGGTTAAGTAAGAGCATTTGTTTTCCCGGTTTCCTGCAAAAGACCAAATTTTTTTCTCCAATACATCAGTGAAGACACGATGTATTTCTCCATCTTGGCACCTATACATAAATTACAGATGCACTCAAAATGGTTTGGTCATATATCTTTAATAAACTCTATAATCAAAGAAAGGCAGAAGGAAATTTGCTTTGTTAGAAAAACACATAAGTTTTCAAAGAATATTTAAATGGATGAATTTTTTTTTTTTAGCTCTTGAGCAGCTACAAAATAGTAATTAGAGAATCTATGGTGCCTTTGTTCCACTTCCACCTGTATAAGCTAGTAATTAAGAGGCCTCAGGCAAGGCACTTGTAATCTCATCCAATTTGTACTAAAAAAAAAAAAAAAAAATCAGTACAGCCCCTTACCACCAGCTTTAGTAAGAGCTGGTTTGGGCTTTTCCCCCCTTCTTCCAGCCTCAGCTTACTGAACAATAAAATAGGTTGTTATAGCATGCCCAATCAAGCTGCAAAATGAAGAATTAGCAAAACTTATACTGATCATTAAAACTACACATAATATTCATAGAATACTTGAAAATGAAAGCTGTGTGGGGCTCTAGCACAATAGAGATTTAATATATAACTAGTTTTAGAAATCAATCATACATGACATTGCACATGTACATTAAAGCAGAACAGATCCTGCACCTTTATTGTAGGTAATGGATGAACACAAACACTTGATATTTTTTACCCCTTTCTCCATACATGAAAATCTTCATCATTATTATTTCACTGTTGGGATATAACTTGTTAAAGGACCATAATAAAAAACAGAAGAAAACCACATACAAACACCAAGAAAGACACAAGCCTTCAATTCTTAGCATCTGTTACATGCAGACTTGAGGAGAGACTTTTCAATCGGATCCTCTAGCTCTTCTGGATTCCCAAAGGCAGTCCCACCTGGGAAAAGCAGAGAAGGGCTAGAGGGCTGATAGCAGCTACAGCAATTAATACTCCAAATCCCCAGAGACATTCATTCATACAAACACAAAAGTGGTGTCACCTGCAACAGTACTACCTTCAGGGGCATTTCCAAGGAGCATATCAGTCAGCAAGGTTCTCTTCATTAGTGTTTATACCAGCATCATATACATCCAAGAAATCTACAGCTAAGGGGAGTCAATGCTCTCGCTCATAATCATGTTGAGAGAGATGTGCCACAGCAGAAGGTGTTAATGCCTCCTAGACAGGAAATCTATATCCTATTCACTGCCACAGTATGTTGTCCATGCTATTCCTCACTACACCTTGACTATGACTCCCCCTGGGACTCTTCCCTGCCCCCTCCAGTGTTTGATACAGACAAATGCTTCAAGGCCTTCCAGCTAAAGCAGGAAGTCTTCACTAAGAAGGTGCGTAGCTCATGCAATCCAAGCTGAGGCTCTCCCTTCAGATGCAAGTTTTGCCGATTTGAACATTGAGGCCGAGAAATGATTCAGTCCTTGGCTGGAAAAAAAGAAAGAAGAGATTTCACCAAAGATAAGAAAACACTAATCCTTACCTTTTGGTTGGGCAGCAAGAAAAGAGAAAGAAACCAAGAGCAAAACCCTGTGAATAAATCTACAGAAAAATCRGCAGGAAGTTTTGGAGAAGGTCCATCAAGAGTGCAAAGGACTTGATTTCTAATTGAATTCATACATATTATCATAACATGCATCAAAACGGACAGAAGTCATATCTCCTCCTTCCCTGAAAAGATATTCAGTATTAAACTTTTAAAGGGTAAAGACCCACTGTACCATCATAGTATTCAACATATCCTCACCAAATTTTGCAGTTGAATTAAATTCATCCTTTTATCATAYTTACAAATGAAGATAGAATTCTAGACCTTCTTGGAAAAAACCCTTTAAGTAAGAGAGTAGCAAAAGAGTCAAAATAGAATCCTCCAGTATACCGGTTCCTTTATTTCTTAAACTATGTTTTCTGAACTTCTGAAGTTAACAGCTAGTGACTCAAGCTTAAAGTGATGATTTACCCTATGTATTTATTCTATTGGGCTTACATGTCACTTTCATCAAATTAAACAATATTGTGCAAGAACATACTGTTCATAGAAAACCTGCTATTTTCACAGTATGTGAACTGAAAGTCACATTGCAAGCATTGCTAGAAATTAGAGTTTCAAGAAGCAAGAAAACAGTTGAATATATCAGCTGGATAACTGTTTGTAGAAATGCTTTTAATTCATGAACCAGCTAAGTTTTAAAAAAAAAAAAAAGTCAATTACCATTGCCAAAAATCTGGAAGGACACAAGAGATTTCATATCTGCACAACTAAGGTTAAATGTTGATTCCTATGTAGCTACACATGCCCATCTTCATGGAACTGGCTACAGAAGAAGGAAATAGGTACAGCAGAAGGAAACAGCAAGCCTATCAGTTCTGTCAGGGAAATAAGGCCAACACTGCACCTTGGGAACTGCATCGTCATTTCATGACTACTTGCGTGCCATTAAGTGTTCCCTTAGGAATCTATTGTCTCTGCAGTGCCAAAGACATTGGAGACAAGAGCAGACACCTTAAACATTGATTAGCAGCCGATCCTTTTTGAGAAACAGCAGGAACATTAATGGTAGAAATAGTTGCCCCCAACCCCTCTGCAAACACACATTCATACACACATATTGGTATGCTGACTTGCCATAGTAGTTACTTGAGACATAAGTACAAGCCAAAATAGCACACCCTTGAGTTTTATACTAATTCCACTAATATCAAATTCTAGGTACTTGTCCTATGTTTTAAAGCCTGTGTGGGAACCTGCTATGGAAGAATAATATCCGGAAGAGACATTCACAAAATTCCTACAAATTAGTTGTTCTCTCCAAAAAGWGAGATATGTTTCAGGTTTAAAGACAGTGTAGGATTGAGAAATGCAAAGAGAATCATTAGAAGAGCCATCCAATTAGTCTCTAACCTCTGGAATTTCTGGTGAAACAGGACCAGTCCTGCACATCCTGAACCCATTTCTCCAAATATAGGTTATGATTGAGACTAAGAAACATAGATTCAGTGCCAGAGATGTAAACTGGTGATGAACAGTTTTAAACACCCAGGGATGAAAAAATCCATGCTGAGAAGAAAAAGAAGGATGCAGAAGAGAAGCAGCATTTATAACCTTCCCTATTTCTAAGGATTACAAAGCTGTTCCACAATTAAATGTGTGGCTTTGTTGTTGATGGTCATTTATAAAAAGTTTTAAAAACATTCAAAATGCTTCTCCTGTCTGAAGAAAGCCAGGAAAGGTGCTTTCAGGCTAACAGTACAACACCACACATTACCAGTTTCAAAACCCAAAGTCTTCCAAGCCTAAATATGAACAAGTTGGGACCAAGATAAAACAGAAAACACTGCCTACACAGTCAGAGCGTAGGGCCTTCCCAAAGTGTCAGTAGTGAGCAGCAAAAGCTGCTGGAGATGTTTTAAATGAACCTGTGATATACCTACCATGACCTTATACAGCTGTAACTGCATCCAGCACAGCCCTTGTGAAGTGTCCAGGAACAGGTTCTAAATTCTGTTCCTAACACAAGTGCTTAGCTATTGAAACACATCAAAGCATTCAGTAGGAATAAGTGAGTGAAGTATCTGACATTCAGAGACTAATGCACCTATGGTCTGCAATTCACCCCTGCATTTACACTTGTGCTTTTCTCCAGATGTAAGGAGAAGCRCTCAGGAAGTGCATGTGCCAATTTACTCTCTACCAATGACATCAGACTTGTTTCTGCTGTAATCATTCACGTTACCAGAGACATTTATTTTCTGAATGCACACAGCAAGGGAAAAGTATTTGGCGTGGAGTTATCAAGCATTGAACAGTCTAGATCTAAGGCTATAAGCAAATGGAAATAGGCTGTAGCTGGTGTTCAACATAGCACAAAGCTACTTATCACACAGTGTGCATTCGCAAGGAGAAGGATTATTTTCTTATTACAGATATGGAAAATAAACCCGCTTGCTCAACACATCATGCAACTCAGTAGCAGCGTTGGAAACAAATCCCTGCACACCCAGAGCCTACAGAAGTACATAGTCAGGCCAGTGCATCCACCTATAYTGATCTAGTGGCATCAGCCCTGGACCATGAAGACAAGCTCAGGTTGCAATTTCWTTTATAAATATATTGATACTAAGTCATTTTTAATTTTTTTCTGATGCCTTTGTTTCCGCAAACTTCCATTTTCCTCTTTAAAAAGAAAAAAAAARTCCCWTAACTGGCACCTTTTTACCATGCTTCCTTCTCATCCTTCTGTCTAGCAGTTGACAGAGATGTATCATCTAAAGACAAGCCTCATCTTAAGGCCACACAAACTTACAGAAACTTGTTACTAAAGTAGATAGCAACAAGACTAAAATTAAATGCAATACAAGAACAGCTTCATCTCAGTCTGCAAGGATCTGCATACACATAACTTTTCCCCAAACAATACTTGGGAACTGTTATCCAAAAACTTACCTATTCTTTACCCACAAGCACTCTGGGAAGCTGAGTACTGTACAAGGTAAAGCAGTTAAACAAGGAAAAAAAGAGGCAGCCCTTTAACATCTTGTATACAATTGTTACAATTGTAATTGATACTTGATGCAATTGTTACAGCTAACACAAAGAGGACTACAATTACTACTCTTAAGTTAAACAGCATCAACCCATCAACTCTAACCAGTATACGCTKGCACAGTAAGAAGTAGCTAGAAAACTACATTTGTCCCAGACTGGTGTTAATTCAGAGAGAGATACTTACTTTCTTTTGAAGCTACTTGGAAAGCCACACACAAAACCCATTGCACTTCCTTTTCTCCTCCCCATCCTAATTTTTTAGGCTTACAACCAATTTTTAAAATCAGAGTTACACAAACAAAAAATAACATAAACATAATTAGGATGGAAGATTCAGCCTAAAATTAGACAGCCAGATAAGCAATTGGCTAGGGTTCATTGCAACCTACAAAAAGAAGTGCTGTTGCTGAAACTCTGGTTTGCATTTAAGATACTCAAATACACTAAACTCTCCGCACACTAAAAAGTCCTCTGAAAGTTCATAAAAAAACAGTTTGAATATTAATAACTGTCTTGGCCCAAGAATCTTTGCACTGGCATATATATAGCTATCTGATACYGCAGTAGAGTACGTATCCTTCCTAGTTTATAAGTATCTCCACTATTTTCCTTAAAGGAAATAAGCTCTAGAAGTATCAGCAACAGTGACCTTTCCCACTACCCCATCCAACACTATACAAACTCTTTAGAGCTTTATTTTCAAAACCTACAAAAAATAAAATTAGCGATTATCATGCAAAGAAGGCATTTCCCACAATTGGCAAGTTAAAAAAAAAAAAAAACACACCACACCACACACACACACACCACCTCATTGAAATGCCCTTTAAAAAAAAAAAAAAAAAACAAACAACACCACACACACACACACCACCTCATTGAAATGCCCTTTAAATCTCAAATATTTGAGAAATGAAAGTGTTCTGAGGTCAAAATGTGAAAGAAATCTCTTATCATTTTGGATCTTTTATATTTTTAAAGGTATTACATGAAACGGCCAATTTGTTTCAGCCATATGTTCTATCTTTCCTTCATCATCTCTAAGATGAATCATTTATAATTGCCAAAAAACAAAAAAGAAAGGTGATGATGATACTTGGCAGAGCTCCATAARATTCAGTTCTTCACAGGTTGGAATTAGGAGATATATAGAAATGAAAAAGGRAAAAGAACACAACTGATGTTTTCCAGTGGACAGCAAGGCTAGTTCAATAACTTAATCAATTCACTTAACCGCTAACCAAGCCCAGACAACAAATGAAAAGGAAAGTGAGGAGAATTCTGCATTTTACAAGCCAGTTGWTTTTGCTCTGCATTTCCCCCCAGCCACTTTAACTCCCTTCTCCACATCCCAACTCTTTATGCTATTTATCTCCTTCTTTCCTCATTTCCTACTCCTACTGTAATTTAGTTGCACAAGGTGATAAGCACGCCTCACATAAGTAAGAAACTATTACTCTAAAAAAGGTATTCAAGTTCAAAGACAGGTCCAAACACTTACTTCAGCCATAAGGAAAAACTTGAAGTCAAGTTTAGGCATAGCTTGCACACTACCTGCTGTTGAATCCTAACCCAGGACYTAAGAGTATTCTTTTAGAGCAAACGTACTAGTTAAGAAATAATTTCAATGAAAACAAATAAGGTGAAGAAAGGCTATGCTGCTTGACTTAAATAAAATAGAATGCAAAATATAGTAATACTTACCACTTCCCAAACATCAGTTGTTTCTAGAAAGGTCCCTCCATCAAACAACAACATGAAGATTTTGCAATGTTTGGAAGACACTCCATGCTCAACATAGGCAACTTATTTAGTCTCTGAAATAATTCTGAAGAACTACAGAAAACAGGAATAGGATGACAAATAAAAAAAAACAGTGAATCTCTTTCACTGAGGTACCAAAGTAACATGGAATTCAGCAATTTAATCCTCAAATTCTGCTGCTTCTCACCTYTCCCAGTTGTCTGTGCTACAAGGGTCACATAACCCAGCTGAGACTGGTCCCACCTAACAAGGCTAAATAAAGCCCAGGACACTACAGGAGTAGGTCAACCAAGCTATGCCTATGTGTTTAAGGTCAATTGCACTTTGCCAGTCATCAAAATAACCTGAGAACAAGATGAGTGGTTTCAGGTGACCTAATTAATTAGCCACAAAAAGCATATGTAAGAGTCATGCTACTAGTAACCAGTATGTGAGGAAAATTTGTTTAAAGYTTGGGCTTTGTCTTTAGTGAAAAAGTGACCTAAAAGGCCAAATTGCTATCATAGATTTTTCTCTGTATAGAGATACAGTGATAAAGATGGCTAAATAAGATAGTATTAAAAATCACTTTTTCTTGACATTTATATTATTTAGATTTGCTTTTTTTGGTTCTCTGCTTTAAAGCTTGAAAGATTCTTGCATTTATATATTGCACAACAAAAAAACTATTTAAAGAAAAATTAAAAACAGTGAAGCACAATTATGAGGCTATTAAGAAAGGTATTTCCCATTTGTTTTAGTTAGTWTTGCAATGAGTAAAAAATCTGAAATATCAAATAGCTATTTAGTGGAAACAATAGTGGTAATAATAAAAAGATATAAATCCATTCATATAAACTGCTAAGTTCAATCATGGGGTAAAATTAACCAAAGCATGAACTAGGAAAATAGGCAAATTAAGTGGCAAATGAATTAAAATCAGGGGATCTTAGGCCAGCTGTACAAAAATGATGACTCTTACATCAGTTTAGCACCCCACTGAAGTYTTCTGCATTTTTTCTGGTCTGGAGAGCACATCAAACATATTCAACATATGCACTTTAATGCTGAAATACCTAAAAAAAAGACCRTAAGTTGAATGTGTGCTCATCAGAATGACATCAGAGGGAGAGTGAGTGAGAGATGAAAACATGGGGTGTTCAGTAACTGCAAAAAGTCATTTTTTAACATCTTCTGCCCCGATTAATCTTAATTTGAATTCCCTTTCCCCCCCAAAAAAAATTAACATTTCCATTTCTATGACAAGAGGCCAAAGAACTGTAGGGTTAGGAAGGCAGACTTCAAGAAGTTCTCTAGTTCAGTCCACTCCGAAAACCTCTAATTCAAGCTTTGCTGCTACTCAGTTACTCAAAACAACTGCCCACTACTTACTTTGCACTTGTACCTAGCCTAGCCTGTGCTTTCCAGAGAGCCAAGCCAACGCAGAAGGGGAAATGCTCTCACATCTACTGTTTCTCTATCTTATGCAAAGGCCCCAGACGAAGGAAAATCAATATTTTGGTCACAGTATTACATGCCCGGGTGGTCTCTCTTGCTGCATGGCCCCTAGGCAACTTTCACRATTAAAAGAACAAGGTTATTGTGTTACTTGCAAAAAGTTGACAAAGCACATCCAGAAATCGACTGATATGGTAGATACTCCTTTTAGTTTGAAAAGTTAGGGGCCAGATCCTTAGCTGACATGTTGATTATTAAATCCTTGTTGACTCTTGTTTAGCTTTGGACATTTGTGAAAATTAATAAACAAGATGCAGGACTGAAGAAAATTCAGGAACAATATTATCAAAGAAGCCAAATCAAAAGATATGTGAGCATGAGCGTCTTCAGTAATTAAAGTGAACGTGCCTTCTGCTGAACTTCTCTCTGGGTTACACTTCTGAAGAAATGAGCATTACAGCTTGGAAGTTATTCTGGTTTGTAAATGAAAAAACCTATTCCTAACTATATGCAAAATTCCTCAGTGAAGCCATCTGGACCTCAGGCTTTTGGGATTTTAGTGGCTTAATTGCCTATACTATACCTCCTTCTGTCAAATGCTGTAATGAAATTAGAATGTTTCTACATCTCTTTTTTTTTTGAAGAGAAGTGTGTTAAGGAAGCATGAAAAAGCATGAGAATAGAAGTGATTCTAATTTATAGATTGTTTATATAACAGTATGCAATGGCATCGGCAGTTTCATTCTCCATAGTGATTTAATGACTTACAAAGAATGAATACAAAACTTTGCATTTAGTTTCACAGTTTTAGCTTTTAAAGTAGTTAGTTAAAAAGAAAACAGCTTGGCAAAGAAAAGTAAGATAGCTTTGATTTCAACAAGAGAAAAATCCATTTTTTGAGCAAATCGCATTTCAATCAGACACAACAGCTGACCTGTTTTCTTAACAGGCCCAATATTGTCAATACCATATGCACAGATATCTTAAAATTGTGCCACGTGTGGAAAACTTGAAATATTCTGTTTCAGCGCATGTCTGGTTTACTGAAGCCTCTTCCACATACTCATTAGTAAAAGGATTTTTATGAATTATCATTACTAATTGTGACAAAATTAACGTTAATCTTGCCTAACAGAGAAAGAGCTGTTCCTTGCCTGATGGTAATCTGAACCTTAAACAGAGGTTAGAAAATCTATTCCTCAGTGTGATTTTGGCTAGCTTCTCTATCTTGTGTGTATTTAGAAGGCAGATATTATAGTCATTTTGTTTTAATGACACAGCATAAAAAATAAGTTTTCCCTTTAGTGCCTTGGTGATCTTTTTTATAGAGATGTTCTGCTGTCTCACACAGCTTCCATGCTGAATTAAGAAGTCTGGTACATTAAAGTACAAAATGTTTTATACTGCTTTAACTTACTGTATGCTAATAGGTTTCTACAAAGTTTCATATATTTTTAGCATCTAATCAAACCGTGCAGTGAACTAAATAATTTGAGGTCTGAATACCACTTCTTTGACTGCTCTGCTTGCTGCATAAACATGCTGAGATTATGTTCTGTAATCATCACCTGTCTCATCATTTCTTTTCATATTTTTGTGGGAAGGCAAAGTAAATTTAATTCCACGACCAGCAGAGATGTATGTAGGAGACAATGACTTTTCTAGAAACTAAATTCAGATCAATAAATATGGATGTCTAGTTTTGTTCTCCTGGTATTCCCCTTGAAAAGGAATGCAGCCCTCTTTGGTTTGTATCTGCAGTGATAAAAGCTACTGTGCTGGTGCACTTATCAGGTTTTAGTGTGACCTTTTTCYCCTTCTGCATTCCTAAATTTAAGAACTCAAATATTTTCCTCTCTCCTTTTTGAAATCTGCTTATTTTGCTACTATTTGTGCTAAGGGCTCTTAGGGCCGCTTCTCCTGGTGCATGTTCACATCTCTTTGCATTAAATCAGTGTTTCAAACCAACCTCAGCTACTGCAGGTTACCATTAGCTTTAACTCRGTGCCAGGAATCGTGGAGTCCTTGGGCGTTTAAAGATGAAGCTGAGCACTTATCCTCTTATTCTCTGTGGTTTTTGTGCATACATTGCCCAGGGAGTTGGGTGAACACACACGGCTGACAACTTGCATCAAGGAACTCTCAAAATCTGACCCTATGGTTTCAGACCACAGGATTTATTTAGGCAGCAGGTAAACCAATGTACAATTGCACTCCAGGGCTCCGATCCCCTCAAYCTGCTGGACAGCAGTGTGGCTAGAAGTTATGGTCTTTTATTTGGGTCACATTTGTATTCAGAGCAAACCAGGGCAGAGGAAGAAGAGCGGCTGGCTCCGGGGAGCTTGTGGGCACCTGGATTTAGGMGGCAGCCAAAGCCTCTTGATCACTTCGCTCCAGCAGCCTGGGCACGGCTGTAGTCTCCAAGTTCAGATACCATCTCACGTTTCTCTGGCTCTGCTGCCTTTTGCCTTCCTCAAATTATCTGCGCTTTCACCTCCTCCTCAGATGCAAGGACATGCACTTCGTACATCTTTCTTCCTTGGTAGATAAAGCAGGGTAAATTAGAGCCTCTTTCTTCAAGGCAGAATCACACCTCTGTTTTCAGTGAAAGCACAAGTCCTAACAACTGGAGGTAAGCAGGGGTTCTTCTTTATAATATAATTTCATCTCCCTTTTGAAGCCTTACAGYGAAGTAATAACAAAAGCAAAAGATATTAAACACAGTACCTGAGGCATAGGTTATTTTTGAGCCTAGAGCAACCTATATGAGTGAGGCTGAAATTTCAAACAAACATCGTCTACATAATGTGAAATGTTTCAGCTCTGTATATCCGATTGGCCAGAATATTTTGCAGTCTGACAAAGGCTAGGAAATGAGAMCTTCATGTTAAGGGTATTCAGTAAAGGGGGGAAAAAAAGGAAGGAAAGAAAGAAAAAAACACAAAGAACCACTAGGGGAAAGAACTTTTCCATTACATAAATTTCATGAATATACAGTTCCTTCTGGTGTAATAAGCTACTGTAATAAAAAAGACACTGCAGCATGAAGAAGCATAATTTAAGTCTGAAGTGAAAGGCATTCCTATCATCAAAATATATCTCAGATGCAAGCACTACAAAGAGCATGAAAAACACCCTAAAACGATGCATTTACAAGTTTACTTGATATTACCATTATTCACCTGTACAATCTGGTGTTCAGCATTTACTCTGTTTTGGTGAAATATTTATGTTGGTACTATGTGTATGCATGCAAGACACAGAACAGGATCTTATCCCCAAAGGAGACGTAGAAAGTATCTGCTGGTTCTTAGATTTATCAGTTTCCCACACACACCATTGTTTATTTTGTGTGTATGTTTGTGTGTGTCTACATATATATGTGTATATATATATATATAAACATTTTATTTTTCCAATTATAAAGCAGGAACATAACCTATTTCATTACACAAACTCCAAGTTTGGCRTGATGGTTCTAACAATGGTTCTTAATGCAGCTTTCCAGCACAAACAGAGGCAAAACAGACCAGTCTGCTCTGAATGAGATGCAGACAGCAAACACATGTAAATGAGAAAAATGAACCATTAGGAATGTTTTCAAACTATTTCCATTGTCCAAATTTTTTAAATTGGCTGAATCCTTAGAAACATGTAAACTTGGCTTGCTTCACCGAATGTGAAGTAATGACATGAACTTGCATCATTTCAGAGCCTCAGTCATGGTTTATAGTGGCAATTTCTAACTTTGTGAGCATGGGAARGAGAAATCACACCTTTCTACTTTGTTTCTAGCTTAGGGCAACGAA